TCCACATTTCTATGGATTCAACAATTACAGGTAAGAAATGTGCATCTAAACATGCCCACATACAACCGCTTTAAAATGGTCTAACGTTTGCTTATTATTATTTTTTGTTCACTGTATTGTTTTAAAATGTTTTCATGACGGATCTTTAAAAAAAAAAGTGCTACCTGTGTAAAACAGAATGGGAAAGTATAAATGGACCTTCTATGCACATGGTGACAAACTTGGGAGACTCTTAGCACAGGCCCTCAGGGACCAAAGGGAGGCTTCATACATACCCCAAATTATGAACAAGAGCATGAGGGTCTCCAAGACTGCAGATATTGCGGAAGTGTTTAGAGAATACTATTCCTCCTTGTACAATCTTGCACCTGATAAACGACGATCTTATCTCACTGACGACATTAATTCTTACCCGTTTCTGGCATGTCACATTTGTCGGCAGTTGGTAGGGAGGTGACTTTCCCCACTGATTCTCTTCGGGCTCATGTTACAGTGATCCCGAAAGAAGGCAAAGACCTGCTGCAGTGCCCTAGTTACAGGCCAATCTCGCTCTTGAACACAGACTTAAAACTTCTCACAAAAATACTAGCATCCCGACTAACTTCTTTGATACAGGCCATCGTTCACCTGGATCATGCGGGCTTTATCCCAACCTGAGAGGCACGTGACAAAACCACGTCATAGATGTGATTCACGCAGCTTAAACTATTCCGATGATGTTATTGTCCTTAGATGCTAAAAAAGCATTTGATCTGGTTAGTTGGCATTTTATGGAACAGGCGTTGCTCTTCCTGGGCCGGTGGATGATGGCCTGGATTGGAGCATTGTATTCACACCCAACCACACAGGTCAAAATAAATGGCTCTATATCACACCCTTTCTCTATATCTAATGGTACCAGACAGGGTTGCCCGCTGTCCCCCCTGATTTTCATCATTACTCTAGAGCCATTACTCCCCAAAATCAGACTCCACTATGATATTACTGGACTATGCATAGGAGCTGCTGCACCTCAGAAAGTAGCTGCATTTTGCAGACATTTACTAAATCAGGAGCACTGCGACGATCAGATTTCCCTTTAAATGGTCTGACTCGGCTATCAAATATCTGGGTACGTTCATCTCTAAGACAGCTGTCTAACGTTTTTCCCCTGAACTTCCTACCCGATACAGAAGATAAAAGAAGACCTTGCGAAATGGAACTCAGGCCTATTTTCTTGGGTTGTCAGATGCAATATCATTAAAGAGGAACTTTGTCTTATCACCCTTATCTTTAAAATAAACACACCTTTAGAAATGTTTAGTAATGATAATCCTACAAAAAGATACTTCTATATAATTGCAGGCTGTGTATGCTTTGCATAACTTATTTATTTTTTCTTTCCCAGTCTTCTGACAGTGGCCATGTTAACTAAGGGCAAGTTGCTAGATCTCCCTTGACTTCCTGAGACTCTGACACATTTTACTAGGACATGTGACCATGTACATCATCTCAGGTGAGGAAAATGCCTTTCCCTGAAATCTCATGAGATTACAGATGAGATTTCCCATCAATGCTCTACTGATGTAACCTTGCCAGGATGCAACGCTTTGGCACACTACATCATCTGTGCCAGAAGTGGACCAGGAAGTAGATGAACTCTAATTTGTAAGTACAGTAATACCTTGGTTTACAAGCATAATTCGTTCCGGAAGCATGCTTGTATTCCAAAGCGCTTGTATATCAAAGCGAATGTCCCCAGAGGAAATAATGGAAATTCAGATGATTCGTTCCACAACCCAAAAATATTCATATAAAAATGATTACAATACTGTACTGTAATATAATACTGTACAAAATATAAAGAAAAATAAACCGATTACAGGTACCTTCATGGCTGGTGTGAGGGGGACAAGAGAGAGAAGGATTATTGTGTAGGACGACTTTCACTATCACTAACGGAATCACTGCTATCTCTTGACTCAATGGAATCTTTTTCATTTCGTGAAACCTTAACAAGGAATCTATCCAATGTGACATTGCATTGTCGTTAAACAGTCTCATCGCTCGCACTGCTACAGCCTTATTCGGTGGTGCTTTTCTACAGAATTTTGCTCTTATTGCAAGACATTGCTTGTATATCAAGGCAAAATTTTTCAGAAATGTTTGCTTGTCTTGCAAAACACTCTCAAACCAAGTTACATGTAAACCAAGGTATTACTGTAAATGAAAAACAAGTTTAACTAATAAATGTAAGATGATATTAAATCAGCTTCCAGTGCTGCATGCTGATGTGATTTTTAATGAAAGGGGATAAAGGTCCATTTTAAGATGATTATCATGCCTTGCATTCTTTATCTATTACAAGCACTTATCTAATCTGCGTCCCTGCTTGGTTCCCTAAAATCAGTAAATAGGACTTTCACCCAATTCCTCTGGCCCCATAAACATCTGAGCCTTAAGTTTTTAGCACTGTGTTTGTCAAAGAACAGCAGGGACATAGCCTTGCCAGATGCTTCCCATCATGCTGCCTCCAATTTATCTAGGGTGGCAGACTGGTGTTGTCAGAATGATCTCAAACAATGGATCTTCATGGAACAGTCTTGCTCTCTGATACCCGTACAGCGTCTCCCAGGTTGCATGGGTAATGTTCCCCTGCAGATTAGATCTCACCCAAATATAGGAGCAGCATGGGAAGTGTGTAGATGACTTTTCGACATGGCTCATGTTACAGGGCTACTCACCTCTTACTCGACAGTAATTGGTCCACTAGGATCCAATTGGTGTTGGATGGTAGGATGGCCAGGGTAGGCTAAAGGCAAACCAAACTTTTGTCCTACTTCTTGCTATCTCTGCCACAAGCTATTAACTTCACTTGCCCTCTTACGTTGCTTAAGAGAATGTACTCAAGAAGGCCCCTTCAGGCACAAGTTTTCTTTTATGTACAACTTACTGATATCACCTTCTGAGGGCTTCATTCCTCAATACCTGAGAAAGTTCAAACGTGACTTGAGAATAGGTTTTCCGAAAGAAGAGGCCGACAAGATACTACATCACACTTTCAGATCCTCTCTTAACACAAGATCTCAAGAAGCGGGTTTCAAATTTCTCAGAATAATGGTATAGAGCCCCTCAGGTACTTCACTCCACATTCCCTTCTACCCCTAGTTAGTGTTGGCGCTGCGGAGGAACCCAAGGTGCTTTGCTACACATTTTCTCGTCATGTCCATTGCTCACGCCCTTCTGGACTGCAGTTCGGAATATCGCCCAAAAGTTTACAAACTAACAGTTCCCCTCGGATCCTGCCTTCCTCCTCATTCACAAAGTCGGACCTCTGGTCTTCTTCTTAAGTTTACCTCCGGGGTGGAGTGGGGATAACTGCTTTTCCTTCTGATCCTCCTTGCCTTCGGAAGGCCGCTCCTGGCTGGAGAGGCCCCAGGGGCGACAGGCTGGACATGCCAAGGTAAGAGGGGACAGAGATCCGCACTGCAGAGACATGCTGGATCATATGATTATTATTGGGATTCGTATGGGACAGCTTTCTTGTTAATCGGGAAGCTGGGTGGCGAGTCATTACACGCCACCTGGCTTCCTGAATGGGACTTCCGGTACTCGCTAATTGGTATCGGTGAGTACCGGGAAAAAGTATCGGTACTCGGTACCAAAATACTGGTATCGGTGCATCCCTAATCAGAATAAGTATTCCTGACCACACAAAGTTGCTAACTTACTTAGCTATAGCATGCTAGCACCAGCTTGTTTCTGATTTGCTGTTAAAAATGTATAAGATATACAAGAGAGTTATTTTAGATTTAAATTGGAAATGTCAGACAACAGACAATAAATGTCTCTGTAATGCCATTTCACGGAAAGTGACAGATGATGATTATCAGCCTCATAACCATTAACCCTTTCACTGCCATGTTAAAATGCACATTTTATGCCTGAAGATTAGTTAAACCCCACATTACCCAATTGTTTTCATAAAATATAAAAGATGAGATTGTGTCAGGTATAAAGCTACCAAACATGTCGAGCTTTAAAATTGTGTGTGCCGGAGATTCGGTAAGAAACTATACTACCCAACATTGTCCATTGGTGACGCTTTAAAACCCTTTACAGGTCATCAATTTAGAGTTGACAGTGAACCCTAGCCCTAGAATTCATCCTAAAACTCTGCAATCATTGTTTTTGTACGTTGGCCCAACTGACTAATGCATTTACATTCATATGTAGGTGGAAGGCTTATTTAATTTTAAAGCTTTTTTTTATACTTAAATTTATTGCTATCACATGGGGCTGACAAGTGTCACCTTCTGCAGGCTGTAGAAGTGATTGAGCAGCTTTACATACAGCCAAGTCATGGTTACTAATAAGCAGAAAGGGGTTAAACATTCCCTGTTGGAGAAATCTACTTCCATTATTTTACCTTGTCAACATAATCACCGAGACAGAAAGGGGGAAAAAAATAAATAAAAATCACATTTTACATCTCCCACGGGAACAGGAGTAGAGGGGAAATCCGTTACTGTGACAACTGTCAAAAGGCGGGATTTCCCTTTTGGGGAAGATTTCCACACTTTTCCCATTGTGACTTTCAGGCAACCAATCGCTGAGGAGTACATAGATAGCAATAAAAACATAACAGAAGTCCCAATATGCCATTTTTGGCAAGTAAAGCTGTCATGAGAAAATATAGTGGCTGCTGACTGCTGGTTTCAGTACTTTCTGAATTAATGATCTGAGACATCAGAAAAAAAAATCCAAAGTCCTTATCTGGCTGATCTTTTCCACGTTAGTAAGGCAAGATATTAAAGCAAGGGGTCAAGCTAGATAGCTCCATGTTTCAATTATGACAGGTTTCTTTTAGTAAGAAGCTGTCAAGTTTCATCCATTGCCAGCATTGATACAATGTAGGCTGTTCTTAACAGCATCCATGTATTGTATTTGGAAAGGGAGATTTTTTTTTTTCCTTTAATGCTTCACCTTTTCCATCATAACCATTCATATGCAAAAATATGGGGTTCTTTGTCACATAAGCAAAATACTAAATATAAGGATTTCACACAATGGTTTATTTCCCCATTAAAATATATATGCTAGCACATCACAGTTTGGGGAGATAAGGGCAATAGTCCTGTGTGATCCTTGCAGAAAGATAGCCGTCAGGTTTGTCCACATTGGTTTCTCTGCCATCTTCTTGGGTCTCTTCTATTTTTGGTAGTCTTTACGCTGCCAAGAGTTTTGTGACAAACAAGACAGCTGAAGGCACCAAACCTGCAAAATTCATAAATAGCAAGAATAAGGAGTAAACACAATAGGGGGAATTCATTAAAACTGGAGCAGACAGAATCTGGAGCAGTTGCCAAAACCAATCAGCGTCTCTCTTATGAACTCCATAAATAAAGGGCTTTACTTAAAGGGACATTAAAGTCTCTGGGGTAATTCTGCTTTAAAGTAGAATTAAACCCTCTTATTTTGTTTTTGCATTTATCTACTGTTGGCAAGCAGTAGATATATGCAAAATCAAAAATAAAATAAGTTACCAAAAAGTTTCTTAACTTACCGCTGTCTCCAGTACTTGCTCCCGTCCGAAGATTCTCGGTGGGACAGGAAGAGACAGGAGTCTGTGGTGGATCAGAGACCAGCACCAGCGCTGGAGGGATTGCTGAATACAAGTGGAAGGAAGATGATGACCGGATCAAGAGGCATCATTTAAAAGGTAAGTCTTTAAAGCAGCATACAGGGGAGAAAAATATTTGTGACTTTAATGTCACTTTAAGGACTTGCTTTATGTGATGCCTCTTGATGCGATCATCTTCCTTCCACTTGTTTTCAGCAGTCCCTCCAGAGCTGGTGCCAGGCTCTGATCCAGCGCAGACTGCCGTTTCTTCCTGTCCCACGGAGTCTGTCCGACGTGCATGCTCACGGCTCCGTGCATTTACTTCTATTTGGTCTCCCCTTGCCGGTGATATGGACTGCGCATGCGCCCGCCCACTTCATTCTCTTGCACGGCCATTCTGAAGATGTGTTCTGTAGCTGGGAGTGAGCGGCGCAGACAGAGGTAAGTAATTGTCTACTTGCTAGCAGTAGATATATGTAAAAATAATTCTGATAATAGTGGCAAGTGCTGATGTGTGGGGGTCCACCCATGGCCTGAACCAGGCTGGGAATAGCTACAACATCTCTTGACCGATATGGGATCCCACTTTTTGGACATAATTCAAGGGTTCCTGATGTATGTTGTTGCAGGTTATATGTGACTAAAGCCTACAGTACCATTAGTTTGAGTCACTATACATGTAGAAAACCTGCAGGATTTTATTCTAGAGACACTTACCAAGCTCCTGCAGTGGCTTTTCCATATCTTCTTCAGTAAACACTTTACGTGGGAAGCTCGTCATAAGGTTAAAAGGTTCTTGTGGGCCACCGGGCCAATTTAGTTCCACATACAAACGGACAGCAGCCAGCTGCTCTCGTGCGCGAAATATTTGCGATAGGGCAGTACCATCCAGGAGGCGGACCTGAGGGCAACAACATACGTGGAGTTTCATAATTTGTTTTAACAAATACTGCTACTGATATTTTTTTCTGTTCTGCAATATAAACACTTTATTTACATAACTTCCACTTTACAGATAAAGACAATGGTTGCAAAAATATATATA